GTACTCCTAAAGCGAAACCTTAAACCCTAAACCCTCAACCCTCAACCCTCAACCCTAAACCTAACCCTAAACCCTAAACCCTAAACCCTAAACCCTAAACCCTAAAAAAAAACCTAAACCTAAGCCATAAACCCTAATAAAGGCCCTATGCTCGGATGTAGCCTTTAGGGCACCGTACATGGGTCGACCCGCAGGAGCGGCAGATGGCATGTGAGGGCCCTCCCTCTGAGCTCGTGCCAAGGAACTTGCTTGAGGTTTGCTAGGGTTTAGGGTTTAGTAGGGTTTAGGGTCTGGGTTTGGGGTTTAGGGTTTAGGGTTTAGGGTTACATCGGGTGGTAGGACTTTCTTTTAAATGTTTAAAAACTTTTAAAACGAGTCTTTAAACTTGTAGGGTTTAGGGTTTAGAAGAACATGTTTTGCAAAGTTCCTCAGCGAGAGCCCAGCTGAAGTTGAACCTTCCCACGCAAAGCTTGAGGGAGACGTTGCTTGCGAGAGGCGTCCTTCTTTAACCCAACCGGCAGGCCCAACCCCCCGGATTCAGAGCTTAGGTGACGTTTAGGTTTCAGAAACCGAAACCCTAAACCCGAAACCCACAAGAACCCGAAACCCGAAACCCTAAACCCATAAGAACCCGAAGCCCTAAACGCCTAGCCCGAAACCCACAAGAACTCGAAGCCCGAAACCTGGCACTGTGGGATGCCTACCCTAAGCCCTGAATCCCTGGGTCCTTGTTGGCTACAATTGTACGTTTTCTTATAATAAAACCCAATAAGGTTTAGGGTTTAGGGATTAAGAATGATCATCTTTGTTTTTGTTATTCAAACCCAATTAGGATTACGAGAGAGCATGCTCCAACACAGCCCCCAACACAGAACCAGCTCATTCCCTCCTGGCCCCCTCAGCTATATTGGGGACCTAGAAGGGGCCCTAACTTACAGAACTACCCCCTATGTTTTCTAAATGGCCCGGGTATTGGGATCCGTATTTTAATGGCCCTAAAACCCTTATAGTGTAATAATTTGTCAGGAACAGGAGTTTCAGAAATCAGTGGTCTGCATTACACGAGACTCGAGCCATACCTTGCTTAGGGCTTAGGGATCCTTCTATAGTCAGGATCCGCTTCGTTTGGGCTTAAAGTCACCCTAAACCCTAAACCCTCAACCCTAAACCCAAAAGACTAAACCCTAAACCCTCAACCCGAAACCCTCAACCCTTTCTTTCTGAAACTTGCACAGGCGATTTAGTTCTAAATCCGAAGTTGACGCCCTGAGCCCCAACTGCTGGCTTACTGCACACTTTCCGTGGAGAAAAGCGCGAAACCCAAGCTGTCAGGGTTTAGGGTTTAAGGTTTAAGGTTTAGGGCTTGCAGGGTTTAGGGTTTAGGGTGACTTCACGATTTGGGGTTACAGGCACTCTCGCAGTCATTCTCACAGTCACAGTGACTTTCACAATCACTTCGGGCTTAGAAATCCAGGATTTAGGCTGTGAGGGCATGGAAAGCAGGCCGTGCGTGCTGTTGCAGGAGTGTAGTAGATGGTGGGTTGCGTCCACTGTCGTCAGGCAACGTTTAAGCCTTCGCTGGCGCAAGTCGAGGACATTATGTAGAAGGCTGAACTAGCAGATATGCGATGTCGAAATTTGTATGACGGAGGGCACGATGCACTGTGCTGCTGTGCCTTGTCTTGTGTCAGGCCTGATCTGGGCTCTTGCTAAGGGATTGTATTTAAGTTACCATTATGGTGATCTATAGTAAATAATATGGTTTCTTTGTTATGATAACTTAAATAAACTCCTTTAACAAGAACCCAGTAATCCTTGCACCCCTCTCCCTCAAGAACACCACCAAACCCCAAACATACCGAAACTCCGGAAAACCGTAAACCCGTCCAGCACTCTCTTGAACCCAACACCTCAAACCCCGAATCCCAAAACCCCTAGCAGCCAGCATCTAGCCGGCAGTTCAGCTAAAGCCCAGGAAAATTGAAGTTGGACCACCAAAGCCCCAAACTCCAAACTCGAGCCTGCAACCTACATTCTAGAGGTGCCCCTAACCCCAACTAACCTACCTCTTTAAGGACTTATTATAAGGGAATCAGAATAGGCAGCCCTGGGCCCTGAAAGGTAGGGCTTTGTAGGGTCCAGGTAAACCCTCAACCCCCCAAACTCCTAAACCCTTCCCTCGAAGTGTAGAGGTGGGCAGAACGTGTCACAGTCCCCCCCTTCTAGTCCCCACACACAAGTCTGCCAGAATCTACACGAACATGGTACCCTAAACCCTAACCCCTAAACCCCAAACCCTAAACCCGAACCCCTAAACCCTAAACCCTCAACCGGTAGTCTAACCCTTGGCAGGTTTGGTGCCGCCTGGGTTTTCGGTTTTCTCCTCGAGGCCGGAAAAAGGGGTCTTAGGATGTAGGAATTTAGCTTTTTGGGTGTCCGAGGGTGTTTCTACCGGCCTTTTAAATTTTAAAGTGTAGGGTCTAGGGTTCAGGGTTTCGGGGGTTTGGGGTTTGAGGGTTTAGGGTTTGGGGGTTTAAGGGCTTTAGGGTTTGAGGGTTTAGGGGTTTGTGGGTGTAGGGGCTTAGGGCTTGAAGCTTAAGGGTTTCCGACCCGGGCCCTTGGTAGCCGGGTGCAGCATCGGGAGTCTCGGATCCCCGCAATTTCTGGCAGCACAGCTCTCTACATATACTCTTCGGATCAACAGCGTTTGCCTGTGAAACTGTCAAATTCATGATCCTTTAACCCTAAACGCCTAAAAGCCTAAGCTCTGAACCCATGATCCTTTTGGCTCGCCCTATACAACTCTGCTCTCTCTCTCTCTCTCTCTACGGCACCCTGTAGCTTCGGGAAACCCCAAAAAACGGCCCTTGGTTTGGCAGCCATCCATACGCAGCCGCGGGTGGTCAGGGTTTAGGGTTAGGGTTTTAGGNNGGGCTTTGGGTTTAGGAGTTTAGGATCTATCCATTGAACTCTGTAGGGCTGCATCATGTCAGCTCGAGGCAGCTGTTCTGTCTTAGTCTTAGTGTTGATGCCACATTGACTGCGTGACTCTTTGCAAGGCAACTCGTAGAAACCCAGAAGCTGCATCTAGTACAGTTACCCCCCAAACCCCCGCCCAGTTGCGGAGGCCACTGCACTTGATTAGGGCAATCCTTCACATCTCAACTCCCCAAGACCCCAAACCCTAATCCCCTAAACCCTCAACCCCAAACCCCAAAATTCCAAACCCCTAACCCCTAAAACCCCAAACCCTCAACCCTAAAACACTAAACCCTAAACCCTCAACCCTAAACTCTAAACCCTAAAATCCCCTAACACGAACCCAACAAATCGGACTCCCTCGAGGCTCGGAGCCAGAGCTTTGTTGTCCAGCACTTCGGCAAGCACAGCTAGACCGTAGGGGTTAGGGTTGAGGGTTTAGGGGGTTTAGGGGGTTTAGGGCTTAGAGTTTAGGGTTTAGGTTTAGAGATTAGGGGGTTTAGGGTTTAGGGTTTAGGGCTTTGGGCTTAGGGTTTAGGGTTTGGGGTTTACTTTTTAGGCTCCAAACACAGAGGTCTGAACCGTTTCTAGTGGTCCCCGCTTTATACACCTCATATACGCTAGCAGAAGTAAGTAAGTTTTTTCATATACCCGCAAAGCAATAAGGCCACCGTATTATTCAATTTTGCATCGGTTCTTGGGGGTTCAGGGGTTTAGGGTTTTAGGGTTTTGGCAATTGGAATCTATCAAAACATGAAAAAAACACACTTCGTAGGGAGAGCTCAGTCGTGCTTGGGGCTACACAGCTTGAAGGTTAAGGGCGCAGGGGCTTCCAGAAAAGTTCACTGGGTTCTTGTTAGGGGATTTCTTTTGCCATAATGAGGAAGGCATATCATTTAAATTAGATCCCTTTGATGGTAACTTAAATAGAACCCCTTAACAAGAACCCAGAGGAGTTTTTGTAGGGAATTCAGGACGGGGCCCCCAGCTAAACCCTAAACCCTAGACCCTCATGGCATGCTCCCGCTCATGCTCGCCACACGCCTGGGTTCTTGTTAGGGGATTTTAACTTAGGTTGCCATAATGGGGATCTATGGTACATAATTTGGTTTCCTTATTCTGGTAACTTAAATAAATTAAATCCCCTAATAAGAACCCAGACTCCTCCAATACCTGGTGGCAGAGTTGGTGACTCGTCTCGAACAATGTCAAAAGGACAATAATATTCAGCAGCAGGCTCAAGCGGACGGCTGCCCTGCCCTGGCGGGGATTCTAGAAATCTCAGACACTTCGGCTGAGATGCGTCAAGTAAGCAGAACATAGGAAGGTGAAGAATCGGCTAGTTCCAAGCGTTGAAGGGTGATTCGATCCTTTAAGGTGTAGGCTTACCCTAAGACCTCAAACCCTAAACCCAAACTCTAATGCTTTAGCACGAGTTCTCGTCACAAGTTGGGTGGTTCTCTAAATTAGGGTCCCTTTTTAGGTCCCCAATATAGTACGGCACCCATATAAAAAGGACCCTGAAAAGAGACCCTCATTGAGAAAACTCCCCAATTTTTTTGCCCGCTTCGACTCCCGACTTTAGCGAGGGCCCGGGGATGCCAGGGAGGGGTTGATCTCATGGGGATAGTTCTCTAAATTAAGGGTCCCTTTTGGGATACTGTTTATTAGGGTTTAGGGTTTAAGGTTTTATTAGGGCCATTCAGAAAACAGAGGGGTAGTTCTCTAAATTAAGGGTCCCTTTTGGGATACTGCTTACTAGGGTTTAGTGTGAAACCAGAGGTATCTAATGATCGTCATGGTCTTCATCCTTTTGTGCTTTTCTGCGAGAAACCCGATCTTCCCCGGCAGTGAACAATCCGCGCATCGCAGGCCACCCGCGGAAGGCATTTGGCACAAGTTGGAAAAGAGGAGCAAGCGCTCTCTTATGACGAGGCGGGGGATTGTAAGCCCTTTGTGACCCCGTCCCTAGTCGTTTCACACTGGTAGCGGAGCCTCCGGGCTCGTAGATCCTAGTTGCCATGTCGTGTGCGGAAGCCAATGTTGGGCCTCCACCGGGTTTCGAAGATGTGGAGCAGGAGCAGCGTCCTGCCCCGCCCGAAGTGTTGCCTGAACCGTCGTTTGGGGCAAGAACGAGTCCTGACACCTCTTGTCATGTACCACAAGGTGAATGGAACTTTCAGAGTCGAGATGTTGGGCAGCAAGACTCCACTCGAGACGAGTGGAAGAGCTCCGATTGGAGCAACGGGGATACATGGCACAACACGAGCTGGGGCAAAGCTTGGGACAGTGCCAAGGGCGAGGACTCTGGCGCAGCCTGGGGGCGACGCGCTAGTTGGGAGTCGACGACGGCAGGTGCAGCGAGATCTGGCGAAGGGGGTCGCGACAAGCGAGATGACGACCCATGGGAGACCGGTGGCGACCCTTGGTCAAGCGTCCGCCGCGACGGAGCTCTACGCGGCGATCGACATGAACGCCATGGGAGGCCCCGGGCAGATGGACGAGAAGGCCGGGACCCTGACAGCGATTATCCGGACCATCGACGGCAATGGTGGGATAGTGGAAGTGATGATACTGGACGACGCGGCCAGTGGAGCGACGACAGAGCTAGCTTCTCCTCGGGCGGCATCGAGGACCACGGCATAGCGTGGAACGGCTGGAACTACTTCGGAGGCGGTGGCGGTTTCAAAGGGGCAAGCCACGAAGGACATCACAGCAGCAAAGGCGGACAGGGTCGACCGTCTGAGCGACTCAGTGTCCCCACCTTCACCGGGGATGATGCTGAAGACCTCGGGGGATCTGCCCGATCTTATTTGAGGCAGATCGAAGCCTGGCGAAGGATGACCCTCCTTCCTCTGGAGCAGCAGGCTCTGGTACTCTACCAGAATCTTGGAGGTAAAGCTTGGGTTGCAGCAGAAGAACTTTCGGTTGCAAAGCTGGGATCTGCAGGCGGCGTGCAGTACTATGTCTCCTGGATCACTGCTCGCTTCTTGGACCTCGAAGTCGCTCGCATCGGGAAAGCGTTCAGCGACTTCTTCAGGCGCCTCAGACGCAAGAGCGGGCAAAGCATCAGAGAGTATAACACAGAGTACGACCGCCTATATGCTCGACTACGCGAAGTAGGGTGCCAGTTACCAGAAGATTGTGCAGCTTGGTTGTATATAGACCGCCTACAACTCGAAGAAGCACAAGAACTTAACCTCTTGGCGAGTGTGGGTAACCAATACTCGCTGCACAAGCTCCAGCAAGCTGCCGTGCTACATGACCGCGGGCACCGCAAGCCTTGGGAACAGGGAAGCAGAAACAGGAAACCCCATTCAGCGCATGTGACCGACCATGACGACCCAGGCCTCAGCGAGTCGGATGATGATGGCGACCTTGACGGGCTCCCCGAGGAAGTGGCACAGGCGTACCTTACCTACCAGACGGCGAAGAACAAGTATAAGGACCAGGCAAAAACCAGAGGCTACAACGCCGCGCCGAAGGACGACAGCGGGGACCGCGATAACAGGAGGGGCAACGACACAGCTGCCAGGGATGAAAGACTCCGGAAGCTCAAGAGCAAATCGTTCTGTGCAAGCTGCGGACAAAAGGGTCACTGGCACAAGGACAGCGAGTGCCCCAACAACAAATCGAACGCGGGGAACTCCGATAAGAATGTGCGTGCGGTTGAAGTTTGTCACCATGTTCCCATTGAGGTGATGACGCTGAAGCACGATGGGGAGGCCTTGGTGGGCATCACGGACACCGCATGCGCCAAGTCGGTAGCCGGGACGAGTTGGTTGCAGAGGTATTCGGATTTGGCGGACGAGGTGGGTGAGAAGGTTGATTTGGTAAAGGAGTGTGAAGCATTCAGATTCGGCACGGGCAAGATCCACTACTCGGGGTTCAATGTGAAGATCAAGTTCTTGCTAGGCCAGAAGCTCGTGATCCTCAAGATTTCCGTTATAAATGGTGACGTACCCCTACTCCTCTCCAAAGGGGCATTGGCGCAGCTGGGCATGATTTACGACATCGCCAGGAATGTCGCTGACTTTACGGAGGTTGGTTTAAGGAACTTTGCTTTGCTTCAGACAACCTCTGGTCATCCAGCGATACCAATCCAGCCGGCAAAGGCCGGTGAAAGCGCTGGGCAATTGATCCTGGCAGACGGCTCGCTCGCGACACCTCAGCAATACACGGCGTTTGTGCTCAGTGACTATACCCCGACAGCCCCTAAGCCCTACAAGATCTTCTACGACAAAAAGCTTAGTCCAGAAGTCAAACAGATGCTTACCCAAGACAGGCTATCTGAGGTTTCGTTTGTCAAGTGGTGGAACTCAACCAACATTGACAGTGACTTCTGGTTAGAGGGCGAGCTCGCATGGTTTCATATTCATGTCACACCGAGGCGCAGTTTGTTCAGTCCGTTCTTGTGGAAGACACATGGTACCGTGCAGAAGAACATGCTGTTGTCGTGCATTGGGAAGTTTAGGTACACAGAGGGTTTCTGCAGCAGGACCGGAAAGCCGCTCGAGAGCACAATTGATGTTGTTGAAGAGGGTCATGAACAAGCTTCTTTCCCGTTGTTTTGGTTCGGCAGAACGACTTTTGCAAAGGCAGCCTCGCCCATAGCGACAGCCCCGACTCCTCCGGTTGCCCCCGAAGGCCATGAGCAGCTCCGCATGCCGCCCACCAGCCATCAGCAAGATGAACAAAGTCCAGCTCCTGGAAGAGGCCAACAGAGTCGGAGTGCTAGTACACCACCGCTGGACGATCGAGGAGATCAAAGCGGCGATTCAGGAGCACCGGATGGAGAACGACCCCACGATGGTGATGAAGTCGATCACCAACCTCACTCTCGACGAGCTGAAGGCAAAGGCCACGAACCTCGGGGTGATGTATGGCGAAAAGGTCACCAAAGGGAACCTCATCAGGATGATTCGCGACCACACGAACACGCCCGACCAGGAGCTCATGAAGATCGGCAAGTTCAAGGGGTTCGAGTTCGGAGAGATCCCCCGTGCCTACGGGGAATGGGCCTCGAAGGAGGTGAGAGTGAGCTCCAATCCCCATCCGGAGCTTGTCAGATTCGCGCGCTGGTTCGACATGAAGACGAACAAGGAGCAGTACGGCGACCCGGACTTCAGCGAGGAACAAGGTGCAGTACCATTCCCGAGGAGTTTGAGTACGATGCCGGCGGCGTCGAGCGCTGGATCGGCAAGGGGCACGGATTGGAGTGTGGTGGAAGGCATCGACGATTGGGGACAGCAACGCCCCATCCTACCGAATGCGAAGAACACGCCTACCAAGCGGAGGACCGAGGTAGAGGACCACCGCATGCAGATCGACGCCACCAAGACGGCCGAGGAGGAGATCGTGGACTTGGAAAGGAGGCTGACCGAGCTGAAGAAGGCGGTGGCAAAGGGCTATCCCAAGCCCACCGGCCACTAGATGATGAGGGCGATGCGGAGAGCGGCGAGCCCAGGCCGTTCTCCGGGATCAATGGGCATGGGAGAATGGACGCGGTGTCTATCTTCCCGGGCCATTCCGGCCCTGGACACCGCGATACAGGAGAACAACTGTATGATCACGATGGCTGCCAATTTGGAAATAAGCCCACCGTGAACAAGCGACGATGTTGCGGAGGACAATGCCACGAACGCGACAGTGAGGCCTTCATCACGGATGGCGATTTCGTGAAGGGGCACTACAACCAGAAGAGCATCTACGTCGCGCACAATGACCCTACAGAGGCCTGTGAAAGACCTCATCTACAACGAGCTCTACGTGAAGGAGACTATCGCTTTGAGACGATTAACAAAGTCCTCGAGGAGACCAAAATGAAGGCGCAGAAGAACACCAAAGGGAAGGCGCTAGGACCTTCAGACAGCGAAGTCCTCTACGAGACCATCGGCCTCTACACACATGGCGGAGTGTTCGGCGTCACCACGAGGACAAAGTCCGATGAAGACCTTGTCCGCTATGTCAACCAAGCTGGAGCTCATCACCTACCTGAAGGAGCAACGTGGTCGTCAGTCACTTTGGCAAAGGGATGCAAAGCTGATGTTCACCACGACTACAACAACCTACGCGACAGTAAGAACTACGTCTTCACCGTTGGCGGACACGACCCTGGAAGCATATGGATCGAGAACAAACAGCTTGAGGAGAACGAGGCCGGAGACGCACGTGTAAAGTGGAAGAACGTCACAGGAAGAGGATGGACGCCTGGGACGATGCACTCGTCCTTTCACAAAGTCGTCAGCTTCGACCCCTTCCTCAAGCACGCCACACACGAGTGGGACGATGACAAGTGGTGCCTGATATACCACTCCACGAAGAGCGCGAAGGAGGTCTCGCCCGAGCTCAAGAAGTACCTCAAGAACCTCGGGTTTTGCTACCCCCGGAACACGACAACTACCCGGTGCAGCTCTGGAAGTATGCCAAGGAGGAGCACAAGGAAGGCTATTTTCAACAACGCGGCTAAGGTCAGCGTGATGATGGCAACGTTGCTCGCCGCCACGGACTCATTCCTTGGAAGAGGCGCGTTTGCTGATAAAGCTCCGGAGCCTATTGTGATGTTCGAGATTGGGGGCTACAATGGAACGGAGGAGGCCGTGAAGCTCGACAAGGACGTGTTCGAGCCTATGACTTGGGAGACCTACGGCACGAGCGAGGGCAAGGAAGCTGCGTTCCACATTGTCAATGGTGGTTACCCACGGGAGCTCCGAGTGAACCTGGCCGGAAAAAACGAGAAGTACAACGACAACCTCAAGGATTTGATCGAGCTTCAGATTGACTCCGGCGGTGCAGTTGTTATTGTCGGCGACGGGAACGACAGTCTGTTTACCACTTTCGAAGAAGCTGGATTCGATGGGAAGTACCACAAGTACCAGTGCGCCGGACAAAGCTCCAGCTACGTGATCTACTACAAGGAGAAAGACAAAGCTCGTCAACTACTCGGACCGAACAGGGCGCACGAGGTCTGCGTTGTCGATGGCGGGAACACCGAAGAGAAACCCGCCGCGCTTGACGGGTCTGCGATAAGTTTCGACAAGAGCACCCCGCCAGGGATTGCCGCCTCTCTTCGGAGGCTCCACCAGAATCTAGGCCACCCACGCAGAGAAGATCTCCTACGTCATCTACGACTAGCCGGTTGCGACGAGGAAGTGCTGAAGGCCGTCAAGTTGATGACCTGCGACGTATGCCAGCGTACAGGTGGGCCGAAGATACAGAGACCCAGTGCATTACCACACATGTTGGACTTCGGAGACACCCTCGGCATCGACCTGTTCTACGCGCACGATGTTGATGATGTGAAGCACACGTTCCTGTCCGTCGCCGACTATGGGACGACTTTTCATCAGGTCGCAAGAGTGGACGGACAGTCCGCAGACGATATCGAGGAGGCCTTCAACACGATGTGGATTCTCCCTTACGGGGCGCCAAAGTCCATTGTCGTTGACCTAGATGGCGGATTGCAGACTGGGCTGGCCAGGCTTTGCGACTGGCATGGGATAGAAATCAGGAGTGTCGCAGCGCAGGGACACTGGCAGGCCGGGGTCGTGGAACGGCAGCAGGCTTGGTGGAAAGACGTGTGGAGCAGGATCGTTGAAGACCTTTCCATCACTGAGGACGAGATCGACTTGGCCGTGCCGATTGTGTCCGCAGCAAAAAATGATCTCCGCAGGCGGTGCGGATATGCACCATCTCAATGGGTATTCGGCCGTGCACCTCGTCTACCAGATGATCTGCGCGACCCCGACAGCGGGGAAAAGGTCTCTTGGGACATCACTCCCGAGGCGAGATTTCAGAGACAATCGATCATCAGAGCTTCGGCAAGGATTGCCTTTCACAAGGGGCAGGTGGACAGCCGACTGAGGAAAGCATTGCTGCAGCGTGCCAGGACCACCAATCGTCCGATCGAGATCGGGGAGTCGGTGCACTTCTGGCATCAACGAAAGGACAGGCGAAAAGGCGGTTGGGATGGTCCAGGCATAGTGGTGGGAACCGAGGGCAACAACCTTTGGATCTCGAAAGGCGGGAGGTGCCGCTTGAAGGCGCCGGAACACGTCAAACCCTCGTCCCCCGAAGAGGTCGGAGAGTACTTCATGATGAAGGGGGCCAAGCGCGAAATTGAACGACTTCTCGAAGGAGACCCCGACGATCCCGGAGTCTTTGAGGAAGAGGACAACGCCGAGGAGGACGAGCACAACCTCGGCGACATGGAGCTCGACGACGGCGATGACGAGGGCTACGGGGCCGGAGACATCATCCTGGACGGCGATGAAGAAGAGCGCGACAACGTGGAGACCATCGGCAACCCACCGACGAGGAGGCTCAAGAGGAAGACCAAGGCAGCTGATCTTCCTGATGGACCCTACAACGCGATGATGTTGAAGACCGACTTGACCCGTAGGGGTGTGGAAAAGCGGAAGGAGAAGGAGTTGCGATGGAACGAGATACCAGACGAGATGAAAACCGACTTCAGAGCTGCAGAAGTCACTCAATGGAACGAGCATCTGTCCTTTGATGCTCTGGCTCCGTTGAATACGGAGCAATCTGAGGAAGTGCGGAGACGAGTCGATCCGTCTAGGATCTTGAGAAGCCGGTGGGCCTATCGCGACAAAAACTATGCTCGACGACGCGAAGGCGACCAAGTTCCGTGGAAATGTAAGTCACGACTTGTGATAGCCGGACATACGGACCCCGATCTGGGGGTCGAGGCTTTGTCCACGGATGCACCAACCTTGTCGAGAGCTGGACTGGCATGCTTGATGCAGAAGGTCGCGAATGGAAGCGTGCTCACGAATTCGTGGCACATGGCCGCCGGTGACATCAGATGCGCATTCCTTACTGGGAGCTACCTCGCCCGGGAGCTCTACATCCACCAACCTCCTACAGGGTTCCCCGGGATGAGACCGGGGGACTTGGTGCGGGTGAAGAAGAACGTGTTCGGCCTAGCCACGTCTCCTCACGAGTGGTGGATCGATCTCCAGAACGGGATCTACGTCACCAAGATCGTCGTCGATGGTGAGGAGTACCGGTTTGAGCAATGCGGGCTCGATCCGTGCATCTTCAACTTGAGGAAATACCAGGACGGAGAGTTCCACGGGAAGCCGGTCGCCTACATCGGATGCCACGTGGATGATATCCTCATCGCGGCTCCTGAGTCCTACATGAAGGCGATCCAAGCGGGACTCTCGTCTACGTTCCCTATTGAGACATGGGAAAACGACGAGTTTGAGTTCCTTGGATCCCACTTCAACCTTAAGGACGGGGAAGTGACCATCGACCAGGCCAAGTATGCAGAGACAAGGTTGTTCACACTTGACATCCCGAAGGGCGTCAACGAAGAAGAAGGCGTCACCAAGGAGTTGGCAGCGGACAACAGGTCGTTGATCGGAGCATTGTCCTGGATGTCAGCTCAAAGCCGCCCAGACTTGACATGCTCCGTGAGTATGGCACAGCAATTGCAACAAACGCCGTGCTACAGCGACCTGAAGTTCACTAACTCCATTGCAGCGAAGGCCCAGGACTATAAGGAGAACGGACTAAGGTTCAGAGCGATCGACGAAGACCGCATCATGGTCGTCTGCTACCACGACGCCGCATGGGCGAACGTTCCGGAGCCGGATGATGAAGAGACCTACTACCAGCTCACCTCCGAGGACGACCAGCTTGGCCTCCAGCACGAGGTGCCGGACACCTACAAGAAGTCGGGCAGGAGAGCGAAGAAGGGGAGCTCGAAGGTGGCATCACAATTGGGATGCCTTGTTCTCTTTGTCGACAGGGGAGTGATCAGTGGATATCCCAAGGACTTCAGTATTGCCGACTGGAAGTCTCGAGCAGGCCAACGGGTTTGCAGATCGACTTTCGGAGCCGAGACTCAAGCCTGCGTGGAGGGACTCGAAACAGGACAGTACATGAGATCGCTCTACGAATCCCTTTCGATAGGGGAGCTTGTGAAGGTCGAAGATGCGAAGACTCCGATCCTGTGCCTCTCTGACTGCCGTAGCCTGTTTGATCACCTGACCAAGCAGGGAGTACCCAGGGTGCCAAGCGATAAGCGCTTGGCCGTGGATCTCGCGGCCCTGAGACAGGCCTTAAAGTCGGAAAGGATCAATGGGCAGCTGCCCATCGCGTGGGTGCCGGGTGAAACCCAGCTCGGCGACATTTTGACAAAACCCCAGAACCCATCAGACTGGTGGGGACGTGTGCAGAAAGCTCTTTTGATCCCAATCGGGATTGCAGAGCAGGGGGTTCTAATCAGTAACAGAACCGGAAGATCGGGAACCAGTGTGAAACCAGAGGTATCTAATGATCGTCATGGTCTTCATCCTTTTGTGCTTTTCTGCGAGAAACCCGATCTTCCCCGGCAGTGAACAATCCGCGCATCGCAGGCCACCCGCGGAAGGCATTTGGCACAAGTTGGAAAAGAGGAGCAAGCGCTCTCTTATGACGAGGCGGGGGATTGTAAGCCCTTTGTGACCCCGTCCCTAGTCGTTTCACATTTAGGGTTTAGGGTTTTATTAGGGCCATTTAGAAAACATAGGGGTAGTTCTCTAAATTAGAGTCCCTTTGTGGTCGTTTAGGGTTTCGGGTTTAGGGATCATGTAGAGACTGTAAGGAAGTATCCTTACGAATCATTCGTGGCCCTATATGGGTAGTTCTCTAAATTAGAGTCCCATTTTAGGTCCCCGATATAGTACGGCACCCTTATAACAAGGACCCCCAAAGGGATCCTAATTTAGAGAACTACCCATGTAGCTCTCGGAGTAATCAGCAAAGCTCTTCTCCGGGCTCCGATTTTTCCGGTATTCCTATATCCCTGAAACCCTGTTATGAGTGGTGGGGCCCGTATATTCTA